TTGTAGTGTATATGCATATACATATATATAAAAACAGATTGTTATATCGTGTAAATGAAATGTTATCGTTATATAAAGGATAAATAAGTTGTGTTTTTGTGGGTGCAATGAAATGATTTTTGTCATAGAATTGTCTGGGAGACAATCCGCACACAAATTTTTATAAGTGTTTCGCCAATTAATTGAACATCAACAGAAGATGGAGCAATGATTAGATGGCTGTCGTTGCTGAACAAACAATGAGAGAAGATTTTATGTGTCGATCTGGAGTGAAATATGAAGCTGACAAAAACTAATGATGAAGAAAATGGACAGTAATTCAACGTATGCATGTTATCATATGATAATGATAATAATTCTAGTTATAGTAATAATATCAATAATAATAGAGATAATAATGATAATTATTATTATGCTTATCATTATTATTATTATTATGCTTATCATTATTATTATTATTATTACTGTACTAATTGCAATAATAATATGTTAACAATAGTAATATCAATAATGATAATAATAATAATAATAATAATTAATAATAATAACAATCAAATAAAATAATTTCTACCCCGGCAAAAAAGATTTTGCAACTGAATAAAGAGATGAGTAAGTTAGGAATGCTGCATTACGTTACTTTTTCATTACTTTCATATACCAGCCAACAATTGTTTCGTAATATCAAAACATTGCAAAAAACAGCCTCTATACAAGTAACGAAATGCGTTTACTGTTAACTGCAAACATCGTTGGTAGCTTTCTTTTGTTATATTTGGAATCATTAAGAGATTTATTTCGCTTTATCGAAATCGAACCGAAGAAATCATCATCAGAGCTTTCGCCTGTTTTTACCATTTGATACTTCCAGTTATCGATATGGTATCTCAAACTTTTTGAGAATTCAATTTCAGTACTGATTTACAAATAATTCTCATCGCAGTTACACCATGATTTCTCCTGCTTTGTCATTCCTGATTCTTTAAATGATTGATTTTCATGATTAACTCAAAGGTTCGAATTACTCCATTAAGTGGAAGTACATTTAATCCAAAAAATCAGGGGTTATAGTTAAGCTTCGTTGTTTTGCAGTTCCACGCGCACTCGATGGTTATTGAGTGATTTCAGCCTCCTGATAGTTTGCAAGAATTGATTCACGATCATCTAGTATCAGCACATCACCAAACTGTGTGCTCTTTTGAATTTTAACCGAGTCTTTGATCATTTTTTATCAGTTCCTTTCCTCTACTTCAACAGTTCCTCGTGATATTTTTCGAATTGAAGGTTTTTATGGGAAAAAATGGATGCTGCGTGTTGAATCAATCGATCTTCAATAAGGTGTATGAAAAGAATTCTTCTTTCCAAACAAAAGCATTGATAGCAGAATTAAAGGCACTTTGCACAGAGAAAGAAGTTCTTCACTGAATGGAGGATCATTTTGAAGTGAAATCTTATTGAACACGCGTGAAATTACGATCTACGGGAGTTATGCGGATGAAGAATGAACTAAAATGCAATTGAACCGATCCTAAATTGGATGTGCTGCAGGGTGCAACCGATTACTGTGACTCTCCAGAGAGGGCTTTATGTGCTCAGAGAAATGCCATGAAACGGCAAATAATTTGGTAGATACCGTAAAAGCAACGACCACTCGGGGAACAAGTGTGGTAATTTTCAAAATTGTGCTCATATGGAAATAATGCTACTCCACTTGCCCATTATCGCCGTTGATGTGTGTTTGTTACATCTTACACACAGTTCTCGATCGTTTATTTGAATTCCATATTAACTTTGTGCTTTCCTTCACTCTGACCACAAATGCATTCGAGTTTTAATTCGTTTGGCAAATGAATAAATTTTGTGAGGGTGAGAATTTTGAGTCAGAAAATCACGGAAAGATTCGTTAAACAGAGACTTTTCTAAGCAAATGAATTTAACTAAGCGAATGCAACCTATTCGGAATAAATCGCGCCACTTTGAAATGGATCATATGAATCAAATGAAATCGTTCTTATGCAACTGCAACGACTGATATTCCTCTTTCTATTGAATTTGTGATGAAACAGAATTTAGAAATTGGTGCGCCGTTGAAGTTTACAGTTTGTCGCGATCTTTGTTATATTTCGAATTTTTTGTGAGGAATGAATGTTTGAATAAGAGAAGAATGAATAAATTGAATTGCTATCAGAGTTGTATTCATTCA